CTCTTGACCTCGTGATCCACCCGCCTCGGCCTCCCAAAGTGCTGGGATTACAGGCTTGAGCCACCGCGCCCGGCCTGGTTATGTTACTTTTATTAGATATATTTCCCACTTTTTCAGCATCTGGTTTTACGAACAAATAAATGGATTAAGAAGGGAGGAGGAAGATAAAGAGATACAGATTCAAATGACAGGGAATTAGAAAGTGTAGGGAGTTAAAAAGTGCCATGAATAACGGTAAGTAAGTAAGCAAGCAAGTACCTTATTTAACATATGTAGGTTAAATAAGGTATTAATGAAATTGCCATTTCTTCTAAAAGGTAAAGAAATTTTGCTGTGTGTAATGATGTCTTCTTTAAAGTGTTTTTACTTTATTTTAAAAATATTTTGAACAAGAAATGATGAAAGTACAAATTGCAAAAATTTCTTCTCTAAGAAATATTAGGGCAGACATTTGGCAGGGGGACAAAATGATATAAATTGGGGAGTCATATATCCTCATATGGATCAGCAAATGAGTCAGTCAAGACTATGGGCAGGTTCTGATGTATCTGGTGTCTCTCAATACTTAGCTTATCCTTGGAATTCCATATGATGGCCAGGCAAATAAATTTTATGGGGATCTCTGGGGGTATTTTTTAAAAAATGAAAATGGCACCCAAAACATGAGCATTCGAAATCGGGAGAGAAGGTTGCTTAAAAATAGATGTAAAATGTTGAGATGGTAAAGAATGATTTATATAAACAAATGCAGAAAATGAATTGTAAGAAGCAGTTTAATTCTGCAGTATTCCTTTAAAGATACTGCAATATCTTTGAAAAACAAGTAACACTGGCATTTTGAATTTGACCATAACATTCAGTGTAGTATGTGTATTAAATGTTACCTATCTGTGAGGCATGAAAGATAAACAAATTGAGCCTAGGATCTTTATAATGTCACTAAGGTGCTCAGAAATGTAAAATATTGTCTTAATCTTAGAGTATAGAGAGCTGTCTAGTTTGCTTCATTTGCCTAAAACAAAAGTAGCTTTAATTCAATATTAGAAAGTTCTATTGATTTCTGCTCAGAGATGTTGTTGTGATATTACTATGGTATCCTTAAGGTTCCGAACTAGATTGACTCTTTATTTTTTTTATTTATTTATTTATTTATTTTTTTTTTTTGA